CGAGCCTCCTCTCTGAAGGAAGGAAACAGATCTTGCCCGTCGGGGTTGTGAACACACCCCCCTCCTGCTGACACAGCCCACAGGTCTGGGCCGACGAGCCGGGGACAGAAAGACCACTCAACACACAGAGCTCAGTCTGGACTGCAGCTGTAAGAAAGATAAGAAGGACCTCTTACCCTTTGAGACGGCATGGAGGGACCTGGAGAGTATTATCCTAAGCAAAACAAGCCAAGCAGAGAAAGACAAGTATCACATGATCTCACTTATTTGAGGAATATAATGAACATAACAGTCTGAGGAACGGGGTAGACCCAGAGACGTGGAAGTAGGGTACAGACTGACAACCCTCAGAAGAGGGCGTGGTGGGGGGAGGGAAGAGACAAACCACAGAACTTATATGCGTGTGCGCATAACCGATAGATGTGGACAACAGAGCTGGGGACGGGGTAGGGGTGGGGGGGAGGGTGTCGATGAGGAAAAAAGGGAGAAACATCTGTAACAAAAATAAATTAATAGAAAAAAATAAAATTTAAAAAAATGTTTTTCTTTGTTGATTTTAGAGAAAGGGAGAGGGAAAAGAGAGAGAAACATCGATGGGCCGCCTCCTGCACGCCCCTCACTGGGGATGTGGCCCACGACCTGGGCATGTGCCCTGACCGGGAACTGAACTGGGGACCTCTTGGAGCAGGGCCGACGCTAACCACTGAGCCCACCAGGTGGGCGACAGTCCATTTGGGCACAAGTGGCAGCCCTGCTCAGGAGTCACTGCGTGTGACGGGCTCAGGGAAGTGTGTGCTCACCGACGGAACGAAACCCCAGAGACCCCAGCTCGTCTGGGAGAAATAACGTTCCAACAAGATGAGCACCGTCAGGGCCGTCTACTCCAACGGCCTCACCCACGGTCGTGCCTTTCGGGGACCTCGCATCACCTGACGGATGGGGGACCGGACGTAACGCCGGGCCGGTTCAGCCCAGCACGGAACAGCCGCAGCAGGTGGCTGTAGCCCCAGCTCCCACACGGCGTTGGCCGAGGTCGCCTTCAGAACAGCTCGGGCATTCGAGGGCCCCCTGCCAGACCCTGCTTCCCACCTGCCCTTCCGCAGGGCCCCCGGGCTCACGGGCAGCCCAGCCCCCTCCCGAAGAACCCAGCTCAGGACGCGGGGAAGGAGGCCCGCGTCGAGGACACACAGGACAGATTCGGGGGCGCCCTCCGGCCAACCTCCCTGTCGCTCAGTCAAGGAAGAAAGGAGCGTCTTCGGCCCCCACTGCCCACAGGTCTGTGACGACCCTGACCCTCGCAGGGACAGGAAGGACAGGCCGACCTCGAGTCCCGCGGCCAGCACGGGCCTTCTGCGGGCTCACGGTCGTGCTGCCGGGCACCGAGAGAGTGTCCGAGGGCCTGCTGCTATTTCCAGGGGAATGAAAGTTTCATAAGATTCTATTGAAAAGAAAAAGCGAAATTCCCAGGATGTCTTCTGGGCTGATTGGAAAAAGCTGTATTTCCCAGGCCCCACGTCCGCCGGTGCTTTTGCAGAGAAAACTCTTCACCCTCGTGGTCTGACGCTGCCTCGGAAACAGCTCGGCCGTGGCCGTGGCCCCTTGGAACACAGGGACCAGCCCTCAGCCCCGTCCCCCGTCTTACAGGGACCTTGCCAGGTCCCCCAGTCCAGCCTGGCTGTTTCCAGCACAACAGGCTTCTTCCCCCTGCCCCCGGGAGGCGGCCGCGCTGACGTGCAGGACTTGGAAACCTCCGGGGGATCTGTGAGTGTCCAGCCCAGAAGCACCCTCCGGTCGTGGGCCTGGTGTGGCTGTGCGGAGGGAGTGGCTCGCAGGCCCCTGTCCATCTAATGTCCTCGCCACACAGAAAAGCAGGCGGTGTCACCGGGCACACAGGCGTACCACCTGCTGACGGCCGCGTGCCTTTCCCCATCACCGGCCTCCTCCACGGGATGAGAAATGTCACCGAGATCGGCGTCAGGTCTCGAGAGCCTGGGCACAGGGTGTTTCACTGCCTCCTTTGCAAGGACGGTGCACAGCACGGAACCAGGACCCGGCTCTGTGGATCCGAGGAAACGCTTCCGTCCATGGAGCTACCGCGGCAGCCACTCGGCCCCCGCCTGGGCGCGGGGCTCGCTCCCATCTGGGAGCTGCGGGCGCCTGAGTAACCCGTACGGCGAGGTCGACAGAAGCAATCCACGGGTATGAACTGGCCTCGCCCTGGCCGGTTTGGCGCAGCATCTGGACCAGAGAGTCCTGGGTTCGGTTCCCGCTAAGGGTATGTACCTCTGTTACAGTTCGTCCCCGGCCCCCGTTGAGGTTGTGTGGGTGGCAGCCACTCGATGTGACTCTCTCACATCAATGTTTCTCTTTTTCTCTCTTCCTCCCTTTCTCCCTCCTGCTCTATCTGAAGATAAATGCAACAATGTCCTCGGGTGAGGATAAAAATAAATGAAATAAACGGGCCTCTCCACCACGGATCAGTCAGACAATACGTGCCCGTGTAGAGGCGTTTCCAACCCCCCTGGAAGACCTTGGAGCCCTCACCAGGAACAGAGAAGTTCCCCACCCTGCCAAGCTAGGAGGGTGACAAGGAACTTTCCCCAGCTGTTGTCACGATCGGCCCTCGGTGACCTACCGGACACAGCCTGCTCCACACCTCACCGACCACCGGGAGGGGCCCCCTCGCGCTTCGGTTCCGTCCTGAGGTCACCACCACCGCCTGCAGGTGTTTCCATTTATTTTATTGTTTTTTTCATTTTCATTTCACAGAAAAAAATAAACAATCGAGGACACGTGCAAGCCCCTTGCCTTGAACAAAAACGGGTCCCCTACCTCCTGCCTGGTCTCCCTCCTCCCCTCCACGGCAGACCCTTGGGGTGGCCCCCGTCAGGTCCCCGACCTCCCCTTCGCCCCCTCAGCACCCATGGAACCTGCTCCTGCCCCCCGCTCTGCAGACTCAGGTCTCACCACGGTGACACCCTGTGCCAACGCCGGAGCTGGGAGCTGAGTCTCTTCCTCACCCCGGGTGGCTTTGATCAAGCGTCTGCCTGCTGCTCGTGTGGCTGATGTCAGTCACAGAACTCAGCTGGGAAACGCTTCTCCAGGCTTCGGGGGACCTGCAAGCCTGGTGGGGACCCGTGCTCGGGGTTCGGCAGGCGAGGACGTTACCCCGGAAGGGCTCTCTGCAGGTCCTGGGGCAGTTTACGCTTCCGCTTGGGGTTCATATTGGCCTTGGGGGCCCCACCGGGGTCACAGCTCCCTCCCGCCGAGACCTGCGGGGTGAGAGGCCATCCGCAAAGCTAAACAACAACCCGTGTTCACAAGAAATACCTCCACACAGACGTTTCTGAGGGCTTTCGGCAAAACCGTCAAAGCCTGGAAACCAGAATGTTCTTCACAGGACAATGGACGACCGGCTGCCGCGGAGCATTACCAGGGGCGAAGGCGAAGCAGTACAGAACGAACTCCCACTGCCCCCCTCTTCACAGGGGGCACTGAAGACCCCCAGGGAACGCCTGGAACAGCGGACAATACCAAACCCCGTGGGTACTGTTTTTCCTACACGGACACACGTGGGATAAAGCTTAATGGATAAATTACGCGCCACAAGAGGTGAACCACGATACCTAATAACAAAACAGAACCATGACCACCAAGGGCTGTAATCACGGTCCGTGAACATTCTGTCTCCCTCCCTGAAAACGCCTGACGGACTGAAGGGCAGGGTGGACACACCGGGCAAAGGGACGGCTCCTGTCGTGGCCGGGATGGCGACAGACTTCATCGGGCCACAAAGATGGCACCGAGTTGAAAACTTATGAACTGTCTGTTTCTGGAATTTCCCAGTTCATAATTTTGGGACCGTGGATAACTAGAACCCCAGAAAGTGAAGTCGCAGGTAAGGGGTGGGGGGCTGGTGGACAGGGTTGGGCGAGGGCCATACGAGAAGCGAAGGTGATGTGAACTCCGCCTCCTGGGGCAGAGAAATGCAATCCGCCCATTTTCGAGAGTCTGAGAGGGCCAGGGTTCCCCTGGGATTGTCTCACCGCAGCCCCACGGGAACGGCTGGTGGGCCCGTGAGAACCGACCGGAAGGACGTCTCCGGCCTCCGGGCACAGAAGCCGGCCTCTTTCCACCAGGCGGGGGGGCTAGGACCGGGACACCGTGATTCGGGGAACGTGGCCCTCCCTGCACCCTGAGGTGGGGGCCACGCTCTGGGTCTACCCCGGACGGTGACGCTCATTCCAGGTCCCACTGCGGGGCCACCGCCCACCTCCGTCTCCCTGCCTCCCCAGCTCCACTTCCTTCCACCCGCAACACCAAGACTCGGCACCCAGAACCCGCCGGAACCTGCCAGCCAGACTGCGAGGAGTCGGGACCAGCTTATCGGCTCTGGGACGACATTTTCCTGTGTTTGACGGCGGTAGGGAGCAGATAACACCGACGCCTGGAGGCAAACCACCGCCCAGGGAGGTGTTGCCTTTTTTGAGGCTGGAAGAGAGATAACAGACTGTGGAGAAGGACCTCCGTGCACTTGGCAGCAGCTCCACATTTGCTTAAGCAAAACTTTCGGATTTGAGCTACACGCATAAAACCACCCTCACATGAACATTCGACACTAGGCATTTCTTCTCTCCCTTCCTCTTTCGAAAACGTTCCGTGGGGAACTGCAGCCAAGCCCTGGGCACACTTCCTCACCGGAGGGACTCGCTGTGGTCTCTCAATCCCCACTCAGCACGCGGGTTTCACCCTCGGGTGCTCGGACCCGTTACGCCCGGAGCCGAGTACCCCTGACGTCAATGGGCCCTGAGGAGATTCTACACACTGCGGCCTCCCGGCTCCTGCCCAGTTGCCCGGTTACAGAAACCATCAACAAACAGTGACCAATGTTAGCAAACACCAAAAAAGGCCGTCTGGACTTTCTCGGGGAGGAAGGGACAGAGGTGTGTGTGTCTCTTCAGAGGCTAGCAGCACCCCGCCTCGGCCCAGGGACCACCCACCTGCTTCTCACACCCTCTGTGCGTCCTGATGTCCAGACACACGGACGACAGTGTCACTGATGATCTGTTCCTTCGCTTCGGCTGTACCTCTGCCTCCACTGCGTCTCCAGGCTTGGAGGGGAGAGGTATTAATTCATGACGGGCCCCGTGCCCGATGGATTTCACTCCTCTGCCCCGGATAACCATTTTCGGCAGAGAAAGCGGAGGCTCGGATGGAGGGATTCACCGGTTTGAGCGGACAGCTCCCACCGCCGTTGGGTCTGGCTGCCATGCCTGCCCAGCTCCCCTCCCCCCGCGCTCTCGGGACGAGCTCAGGCTCAGGGTTCATGCTGGCTCCCTGCAACCCGGCTCCCCTCAACCCTGGTGTCTTCAGGCAGCGGGACCTCGGCCTCCTTCTTGGAAAATCGCGTTGCAGGATATACACAGCATGATACCACATTCACAAAACTTGCACACACACAAGGGCGATGGCTGTGAGTGGTGTCCCCCATCCCCAAATGCACACTGAAGTCCATCCCCGGTACACCCGAGAGTGGACTGTACTTGGAAACAGTCGCTGCAGACCGACTCAAGGGGAGGTCAGCGGGAATGCAGTGGGCCCCGACCCAATGTGACTGCGTCTTCCCTTGGGAAGGAGAACTCGGACCGATTTGGACAGAGACACCCAGGGGGGCCACGGGACCGTAAAGGCAGCTACGGGGTGGGGTGATCCGCCTATAAGCCAAGGAAACCACCAGAGCTGATAAGAGGCCTGAACAGACCCCTAAACGCCCTCAAACCCAGGAGGGCAGGCACCTCTGAGGGGAGACAGGGGGCGGCAGATTCACGGGTCCCTACGGTACCGCCAAAGTCACGTGGTGGGTGGGGACAAGGACATTAGTTCACAAATGTCACTGTGAAGTCTCCAATCAACTACGGCAGTTTTAAAGTTAAAGGAGTATGCCCTTTAGAAACTAACACAAACATTGACCAAGTTAATTTAGAAAGAATCAAGACTCTAGAATTTTAAAAAACACCCACAAGCAATTCTGTACACCGGGTTCCGGCTCCAGAGCTGGGGACACCCCGATATTGTATAATGAGGGAATCAAGGCTCAGCGACGTCCAAGGACTCGTTTCAAAGCTCCTGCTCGTCGGTGACAAGGCCGTGCTGGGCCCCGGGCCCCGCGGCACCCCTCTGTCCCCTTCGCTGCTCCCCGAGGACATCAGCTGCTAACACAAGGTCCCTCTGTCTACACTTGGCCTGCGCATTACTTACCCTAAAGGAAATTCTCGGCCGTAACCACACGTATGGGGGGAAATAACTATTCCTAACTGTCAGAAGGTTGTGTGAGGCCCCCCTTCTTTTCTGGGGGCGGTGGAAGCTCAGTAAATCAGAGGTCCTTGGTCTAAGGGGTTGGTATCTACACAGGAGCCCACATATCCGTTCACGATGGCCCAGGCCGCGGCCGCATCCACCCCGACCCCTCTGGTCTCCACCCGAGCGCGATCTCCCCTGAACAGAAACATCCGGGGAAGAAGGCACACGTCCGTCCCGCCACCCCAGGAACGGGGTGGTCCCAGCCCCTGCTCTCGTCCCCTGGCACCCCCTCGGCCTCGCCCAGAGCCCACTTTTCTCATCACGGGTGGCCCGCGGACCGTTACCTGACTCCTGCAGATACCGGTACACCAGGAAGTTCACCTCGTCACTGGTTATGCTCATCTTAGCCTCGCCTCGCGGCCACGAGGTCCTTCGAAGCGCGAGCCACCCTCTGCGGGAAAGGCGAGAGGAGAAAACGGAGAGTTTTCAAACACGGCCCAGGTCTCTTTCTTCTGCGTTCTTTCCGACACCACTGGGGAAAACACCCCAGAACACCCCTGACGTCCCCCCCACAAAGCGAGCTCACAGCTGCTGCGTGCGCCACGGTCTGATCGCACGGGACGTAGAGAGGTCGTCATGACCCACGTAAAGAACATACATCCTGGGACACGTTCCCACACACGGGAAGTGCCGGGGCATGGCACGAGGCTGGGGCAGGGTCGGGTGACCCACCCAGGGGCAACCGCGGATGAAAACAAGCCGACTCTTCATTCAGTGAGAATCACGTGACGGTGTGATGACAAGGGACTTGACCACGCATTCGGGGCCTGCAGCCCAGGACAGAGGGGCCGGGCTCAGGTGCCAAGTGCCTTCGCAGACCAGGAACGACCAAGCGGGCCAGAGGCCCTGGGCCCGCACACCTGTCACGGGTAAGACTTGACTTGGCGCTCACGGTCTGTCTACCACCGGGCACACAGCACCAAGGGGGTGGCGGAACCAGAGGGAGCCAAATAACTGTCACCATAGCGTCCCCCAGGAAGAGGCCAGGGCTCCGGAAGCGGCCGCAAGGAAGCGGAGAACCTACGTCTTTTGAGTTTTGCCGCAGGCAGGGAACCTGGGGGCCGAGGGAGGTGAGGACTGTGGGCGTCCCTCCAAGGCAGCCCAGAGACAGCGATGTCCTTCCCCGCGGTCCCAGCGAGCCCAGGGGACGAGCCGGCCCAAACCAGCGCAGAAGTGGAGCCCTTGCCCCTGGAAAACCAGAACCCACTGGGGTGACAGCGAGAGCGGCCCCAACCTCCTTCGATCCCGTCCCCCACACCCAGCCCTGCAGGCGCTGAGGGACCCGGATCAGACTCCATGTCCTGTACGGTCGGCATCTTTCACGGTGGCAAACTTACCACTGAATGACAGTGAGGCGTTCGTAGTAATTCATACACATGCAACACAACAGTTACACCCCGATCGTGCCGCAGGGCCCAGCTCCGGGGTGTTGGGGGCACTCACAGTGCTGTGCCCCCCACCCTCACCACCACCATTCCACAACCTTCTCCTCGCCCCCAAGAGAGACTCAGTGCCCACCCCCGGCCCCTCCCCGGGCACCCACGGGTCTACTTTCTGTCCCTATGAACTGAACTCCTCTCCTAAGCCTGCTTTGGCATTCAGACCCATGCAGTCACCAACACGGAACAGCCTGGGATCAACAGGAGTTTGGCTTTCAGAATAAGTCACAACGTGCACAGGCCTCAGGATGTCCCCTCGGGCCCTGGGGACCCCCTGATGTCCCTTTCACCCAGTGGGGCTACCCAGAGTCACCCGGCAACCCTCCCTCACACAAAGCCCGTGACCTGACACACCCTCAGGGCCAATGCACTGTGGCCGGGGCCCCCCAGTCCCTGTCTGAAAGGCCTCCCCCCACTCGCCACTTCAGCCAACATGACAGCCTCCGGGGGCAGGGGGAGCAAGTCCGCCACCCCTCACCTCACCGTGGGGTCCTCCCTCGAAGATTCAGATTTCTGCAATGAGACCACGGTAAGGTCTTTAAAATGGGAAGGCAGGCCCTGGCCGGTCAGGCTCAGCGGTTAGAGTCTCGGCCTGAGGACAGAAGGGTGCAGGGTTCGATTCCGGTCAAGGGCACGTACCTGGGTTGTAGATTTGATCCCAGGCCCCGGCTGGGGCACATGTGAGAGGCACCCAATTGATGTGTCTCTCTCCCATCATGTTTCTGTCCCTCGCTCCCTCCCACTCTCTCTAAAAATCAAGGGCAACATATCCTCAGGTGAGGATTAACAAGACAATGGGAAGGCTGACCCAGTGTGAGGCTTCTGAGATGGAAATCCTGTCACAGCAGGGGTTGCGGCTGTGCACCGGATCAACCAGCATCTAGGATCAACCAGTATCCAGGATAAACCAGCATCTAGGATCAACCAGTATCTAGCATGATAAACCAGCATCTAGCGTAAACCAGTATCCAGCATAACAGCACAAACTGGTATCTAGGACAAACCGGTATCTAGGGCAAACCCGTACCTAGCATAAACCGGTACCTAGGGTTAACCGGTATCCAGTGTAAACCAGCATCCAGGATAAACCAGCATCTAGCTTAAAACTATCGAGCATAAACCAGTATCCAGGATAAACTAGTATCCAGGTTAAACCAGTATCCAGGCTAAACCAGTATCCAGCATAAACCAGTATCCAGGATAAACCAGTATCCAGCATAAACCAGTATCCAGCATAAACCAGTATCTAGCATAAACCAGTATCTAGCATAAACCAGTATCCAGGATGAACCAGTATCCAGCATAAACCAGTATCTAGAATGAACCAGTATCTAGGATAAACCAGTATCTAGGATCAACCAGTATCTAGGATAAACCAGTATCCAGCATAAACCAGTATCCAGGATCAACCAGTATCTAGGATCAACCAGTATCCAGCATAAACCAGTATCTAGGATAAACCAGTATCTAGGATCAACCAGTATCTAGGATCAACCAGTATCTAGGATCAACCAGTATCTAGGATCAACCAGTATCCAGTATCTAACTAGGCTGGGGAGCACCTCCCACAACCTCTCACTCGAGAAAAACCCTCCGTGAAGAGAACGAGCAGCCACCACCGATGCAGAATGGGCGCCTCATGCCGTCCAGATGGACCGTGTTTACTACAATTCTGCTGCAGGGAAATCTGTGGCAGCACCAGGAATCTCACACACACGCACACACGCACACGCACACATGCACACACACACACAGGATTCTGGCTGGCTGGTGTGGCTCAGTGGACTGAGTGTCGTTCCCATGCACCAAAAGTTTGCCTGTTAGATTTCAGATAGGCCGGTTGTGGGCTTGACCCCCACCCAGTAGGGGGCGTGCAGGAGGCAGCTGACTGATGTTTCTCTGTCACACAGATGTTTCTCTTTCCCTCTCCCTTCCTCTCTCTCTTAAAACAAAAACAAAAACAATATATAAATATATATACACTTGAGCACAGCCGGTGTGGCTCAGCGGTTGAGCGTCGACCCATGCACCAAAAGTTCGCCTGTAGGATTCCAGGTTGGGGCATATACCCCGGTTGTGTGCTTGATCCCCAGTAGGGGGAGAGCAGGAGACAGCTGATCGATGTTTCTCTCTCACATCAATCTTCCTCTCTCTTTCCCTCTCCCTTCTCTCTCTCTAAAACAAAAACAAAACAAAACAAAAAGCCAACATACAAAAATACACGCTTAATCTTAAAATAAAAAGAATGATTCTGCCCAGCCAGCATGGCTCGGTAGTTCAGCATTAACCCACGCATGCAGAGATCATGGGTTCAATTCCCGGTCAGGGTACATGCCCAGGTTGTGGGCCCGATCCCCAGTGGGGGGCGTGCAGGAGGCGGCCAGTTGATGTTCTCTCTCATCCATGTTTCTCTCTCTCTCTCCCTCTCCCTTCCTCTGTGTCTCTCTCATATCAATAAAAAGAGCGATTCTGACCTCTAACCATGTACCACACAGTCCCCTGGACCCGGGCAGGAAGCCGACCCTGTGCCAAGGCTGGAAGCGCAATGCCATCTCTGTCTGTCGTCCTGGGGGCTTGGGGGGCACTGGCCTGTGTTTCCTCCACAGAGAACAGTTGACGTGGACACGGAACGTGGAGCTCAGAATGCCCGTGCCCACAGCCGCGGAGCGGGGTACACGATGGGGACGCGGGAGCCCGTGCTCAGACAGCCCGGCCTGTCATCTGCCTCCGGCCCCTTGCAGCCCCTACATGGGGGGCGAGCTGGTGGCTCGGGTCTGTCACCTCCACATTAAGGAGGAGGACGGCCCCTGTGTGTGGGACAAAGGTCAACAACTTCTTCCCCATCCCGACAGCAGGCTCAGGCACAGCAGGTCCCGGACAAGCTGCTCACGGCGTTTTTCCTCCACTGGGCACCCCCCCCCAACAAGACCTACCTGCAAGGACCTCTTCGGGGGGGGGGGGGTCATCAGACACTCCGCCCTCGCCAACATCCACCCAGAGCTGGTGGCCTCGGGACAGTTCATCAGTGACCGGACCACGTAAGCGGCTCTCACAGGCCCGTCAAGGAAGGCACACCCCAGCGGCGGTGTGTGGGTCCGCCTTCTCTCCCGGGGACACCTGGGGACACAACTCCCCCTAACCCTGGCTGGGTTCCGTACACCACCCATTTTCAGCCCCAGGGGACGCGGCCCAGCCTCTCCCGATCTCAAACAAAAGCAAGCTTTTCCGCAGCAACCGTAAGTCCTCCTTGGCCAAGGGAAAACACACCGAACCAAAAACCACGGGCCTAATGAGCGCGTCGTGTTTCTTTCCCTGCCTGGCCCCGTTCTGCTGGGAGACACCTGCAATTAGGTGGTTGGAAGGGCTCTGCACCCCGCAGGCGTGGAGAGGCGAACAGCGCCCTCCCGCTGGGACCTCGTCCCCACCGCCGGCTTAAAACAGAATTAAAACCGAGGGCGGCCGACGGCGTCGCTGGGGTTGCCCGTCGAAAGACACTTATGCCAACATAAATAATAATTTAGGGATAAAGCCCGTGGAGGAACTGAAGAGAAAATTATTAATATTATTTCCTTTTATGATTTAACTTCAAGCTGGCTCTTATTCATCAGAGAGTTCCCTTCGCAAAACAGTGAACCACGTACGAGAACCGTGGTAAAGGGTTTCACTTAGTTCGTACACACTTCGAGCATCCAACATGCTGCCGCTCTTTGGGGAGGGACAGACTGCCCCCAGATCACAAATACTGGCTATTAATTATCTTCTTGTGTTAATCCTCCCCCAAGGGTATTTTTCCATTGATTTTTTTTAGAGAGAGTGGATGGGGGGGAGGGGAGACAGAGAAAAAAACATCGACGTGAGTGAGACCCATTGATTGGTTGCCTCCCACATGCACCCCGTCCGGGCTGGGACCCTGCAACCCAAATACATGCCCTTGACCAGGAATCAAACCCGA